AAAAGGAAGGCGTGAGTTTTCATCATTTTTGGCTGGTTTTGTCTGTCTGAAATCTAGGGGAGTGGTTCGCTAAGACAGAAAGCGAGTTTTCCGCTTTTGCAGCGCGAAATTTTTTTCGCTGCGGGACCCCAGGTCCGCTACTGATCAAGAGTGGACGTGGGGTTCGAGAAAGTTTCGCGTGCGAAAAGCGGTAAAGTCGCTTCCTATCCTAGCGAACCACACCCTCAAATCCGTACGGAATCAATGCTTCTGGAAGCACATCACTCACGTCAGCTGCAAGGGATCGGTATTACGGTCAAATCCTCGAGCCTACTTATAAACCTGTCTTCAGTGTGCCGTCTCCATAGCACAGGGCTTTGTCATAAATTAGTAGTGAAGTGAAGCAATCCGCGTTGCCATTGAGTGAAACTTTGAATGGGTTCATGGTGGTGTAAAATCTCCCACAACCTTCCTTTCTTGAGATCGGCGATATGTGTGCATAAGGCTAAGCGAATGTGGGTTTCAACTGAAGGTTTCCTGCTGTTGCGTTGTATTACGCTGCAATCTGAAAACAATAAGTACATTCAGTTCGGTAATATATTTTTAGTACTGGCCGTCCACACTATCCAGTATCGGAGAGTCGAGTCGCCATTTTGCGGCAGCGATTTGCTCGAGAGTACAATGTAATGAAGTTGCTCACTCGGCCGTATGTTTCCGCGGTGTGTTTTTGTTTCTTAAGAAGTTGTTGATTTAGTCGACCGACAATTTCTCAGTCGCTTTGTAATTCGTGTGAAGGAATCGTTGGTATCGAATGCACAGAGCTTTAGTCTCTTGCTGTTTGTTAACTGCTGTTTTAAAGCCGCAGTTCGCGTTGCGAATGTTTCACAAGAATGCTGGGTTGTGAACAAAACTTTCGCCCCAGGCGGGACTAGAACCCGCACCTCTCGCTTTCCGGGCAAGTGCGCTACCAGTTACGCTACCGGGGCACCATTTCATCCCAACTCAGCTTTTCATGGTATATACCATAGCTTTCAACACTGCGGCTAACCAGCTCATCACGTTAGACGTGTGAGTGCTGTTAAGCTTGGTAAGTATGCCATGAAAAACCGAGTTAGGGCGAAACGGTGCCCCGGTAGCGTAACTTGTAGTACCCGGTAAGCGAGAGGTGTGAGTTTGAGTCTCACTGGGGGAAAGTGTTCCAGCTCTCTTGTGAAGCTTTCATTTCTATTTTTAGGTAGTGATGGGAATATTTTGATGTAAATACAACGCATGTTTGCACAATACTAAACAGCCTTAGGAAGATTGTCTTTGGCTTCTACTTGACTTCAAAATCTGTTAAAAGCAGATTATAATGGTTTGGCTTCAGGAGGCTGAGTCTGATTACTTTGCATCGAGAAACGTGAGCGGTCTTGAACAATTGCGAGAAGAAGAAAAGGCAAGGGCAGAAGCATTGCGTATGCCTGGGAAGGTGGGTCCTTGTTTCTTACAGGTTACTGTAGCGGACGCAGTGTTCGCTGCTATATTCGCCTTTCTTTCCTTGTCCAACTCACTCCAAATTTAAATTTTTTGAAGACTTGAATCAATGGGGATGAAATACAAACAATGTTTTCGGCTGAAGAAAAGTTCTGGAGCTTTTAAAGGGGAGATAATGACTGACCCTCGCACTGCATAATTTTAGCGATTCTGTAACATAACTCTTTACGGTCAAGTTTGGTTATTGTGATTATCAGTCTTCTTATCATAAAGTCATGTTAATCATCGCATTTATGAAAGGAATAGGATGCACTCACATATAGTGAAGGCTTTGTTGAACCTGCTCCGTAAAAGAGTATTACTAAGTATTCCAAATTTA